GGGAGAGGGAGAGAGAGACACAGAGAGACACACACACCCACCCAGTCAAAACAAAAGATATATAATTTTTTTTAAAAACTAAAAAAAACAACAACCCCCAAACAAAAGCACTTGACTGTACCTGGCTCTGACACCCTGCGGTGCGCTCGTGTTGTTGCTATTCGTGGCCCCGGCGGTCCGGCTGGTGTTGGTGGCTGCGTTGACCCCCGGGGTGGCGCTGGTGTTGGTCGCTGCGTTGCTGCGTGTGCCTGCGCTGGCGCCCACTCGCCACGGGGTCTGGTGCGAGGCGTCTGATCTCTCCTGAGCTGTATCTCCTGATTGGTCACAAGAGTAAGTGTAAGGGGGGGGGGTTCCAGTGTAAGATTGGTCAGAGTATTAGTTGTTTTTTTTAAAAGTAAGAATTTTACGGCACCTGCAACCCAAATAGGTCATATAAGGGTTGAAGATTTCAGTTTTAGTAAGAGTTTTACGGCATTTGCCACACAAATAGTTCAGTTTTAGTTTTAGTAAGGTTTTACGGCACTCGCAACTACATAAGGCCATATGACCGCCGAGGGATGGATGTCAAAAGAGAAGTCCAAACCAGGAATCAGGCTTACTCTGCAATTCACAAGAGAGTGACAAACATGCAAAAGAAGTAGAGGAAGCATGACGCTAGTAAGGATGAAGAAAGAGAAAGCAGCGTACAAATAAGGTCATACAAGTATTGGAGATTAGAGGTGTTACAAGAGAGTGACGCACAAAGAAAAGAAGGAGGAGAGACAAGGACGACAGACAGATGTTTGATGGGAAAGAAGGAGCACACAATGTACACCACAGCACCCACCAACCACCCACAGTTAACAGTTTTTACGTCGCCCGAACCTGCATAAAGTTAGACAGAGCACTTGTGTATATCTGTTCCAACGCCCTATCAATGCTATAATGTTATTTCCTTTTCGTTTGATTAGAGTAAGTTTTACGGTGCTTGCAACTACCTGAAGGTCATACAACTGACACACCGCGCTCCACCTAGCTATGAGACAAATACGAAATTTTTAAAAAACTTGTTAAATGTGAGTTTATGGCCCCATCGCCACAAATCAGATCGTTTACGAGGCGGGCTTCTATCTACACTGCCTGTCAGGGTCAACACGAGCTGAGAGGGATACAACATACAAGATCAGAAAGACCCGAGATACTCGATAAAAATCCTCTCCACATGAGGTGACAACTGTCATTTCAAAGCATAGATACAAAAAAAAACAACTACAAATAACATGAACATTTTTCTTGTCACACTTGACTCAATAAAGAAAACCTACATAAAGAATCCACATATATTGTCCCATGAAATTCATTAAGTTAGATAAATGTTTTTAATCAAACCAGTAACTAAGAGTTGGTTAGGTTAGAACAAAACAGTGTAAAGAAAGAAATGAACAAATTCCTCACAGTTTTCTTTGGGTTTCACAAAAAATGTTTTGATTAAAATCTGTTCCTTTCGGGGCTGCAGATCACAAAAATGTACCTCAAGAGAGTTATTAGCTTGGTAAATGCATCACACACACACATACACTGAGTAGCAAAGTCGTCATCTCTGTGCCTGGGATCAAAGCTTTGTTAGACAGCCTGGGTTCTCAGTCAAAATAATAATAACAATAGATTGCATTTCTATAGTGCTTCATCCCATACAAAAAAACAAACATTTCATACGAACAAGAAAACTAGTTCCACCACATAAGGAAGAACTTTTTCAGTCAAAAGACAAAAATCTTACCACAAAACTAGACGCAGATGGCATAATTTGATTATATGTAGGTCCCCTAGACGGACTGACACGAAGATGGAACGAGCATTTGTGCCTTCTACACTGCGAAAACTGACGGATTGCATAATAGGAATAACGCAACTCATTGGAAAGACTGGAGACAGTTTACAAAATCATACTTCTTCGTTCGGAGGCAGTTTATAAAATTATACTTCTTCAAGCTGACACCAGAAAACAGACAGTCTACAAAGTCATATTATTCATGCTGAAACCGGAATACAGTCAAAACTGTCTAAGATGGCCACCCACTGTCGAGGAAAAAATTGGTTGTCTTAGACAGGTGAAATTCTTTGTGAAAACAACTTTGGAGAGTGAGTGTGAACCCATACTTGCAATGCTAATCAGCTTTCAGCAAGTCAAAAGTAATTTTGCCCCCTAATGCGTCAGCTTTCAGTAAGTCAAAAGTAAATATGCATTCTAATGGGTCAGCTTTCAGAAAGTCAAAAGTAATTATGCGTTCTAATGTGTCAACATGTTAAAAGAAAACGGGGCGGTAATTATAACAAATGGTACGAAATGGAAAGAGTTAGGGAGAACAATATTGTGAGAAGAACTGCCAACGGACAGGCGAAGACCCACTCACTCCGCGGAGCGTCTGAACTAATGTGACCTTGGTGGGGGTCAGAACGGGAGGACTGGCGGGCACGGGTGGCGCGTGGCCCAAGTCTGACGCGGCTTGTCGCCCGGTAATTTCTGGAAGAGTCTAGCTCAGCCAGGACTAGGATGCGCAGCGGCTGATACAGAGGCAATGCCCTCTCCCTCTCACCGTCAAGGGGAAGGTCACTCATTCCTCGCTGCGTGGGGTCCGGTCCGCGACCACCGCCGCCTCCGCTCGCCTGATGGACCATGTCGACCCGTACTGGCTGGCCGGGCTGTACACCTGTTTGTAATGAGAGAGAGAGAGTGTGAGTGAGAGAGCGTGTGTGTGTGAGAGAGAGAGAGAGAGAGAGAGAGAGAGAGAGAGAGAGAGAGAGAGAGAGAGAGAGAGAGAGATAGAGAGAGAGAGAGAGTGTGTGTGTGTGTGAGAGAGGAGAGAGAGTGTGTGTGGGAGAGGAGAGAGAGTGTGTGCAAGAGAGGAGAGAGAGTGTGTGTGCGAGAGAGAGAGAGAGAGAGAGAGAGAGAGAGTGAGAGGAGAAGACTAGCTCAGCCTCAGTGTGTGTGTGTGTGTGTGTGTGTGTGAGAGGAGAGAGAGAGAAAAGTGAGACATAGAGAGAGAGAGAATGTGAGCATTGGAACACATGACACTGAGCAACGCAAATCGTGATTTCAAAATGTTTAGTTTTAGTAAGAGTTTTACAGCACTTGCACAATAAGGTCATACAAGTGCCGAAGATTAGAGGTGTCACAAGAGAGTAAAAAATATAAAAGAGGAGGAAAGATCAGGACGATAGATGTTTGATAGGAAAGAAGGAGCAAACCACACCAGACCACCCACCAACCACCCACTCAAAATGTTTGCGAGAAACGAAATAGGCAAAATGCCAAAAGAAAACCCCCCCCACAAAACACCAGCGTACAGTAATTCGCGACCTCAGTGCTTTCTTGTCCTATCTAGCGTACAGTAATTCGCGACCTCAGTGCTTTCTTGTCCTATCTAGCGTACAGTAATTCGCGACCTCAGTGCTTTCTTGTCCTATCTCCATTTTTAATAACAGCGAAAACAGTTCATAACAAAGAGTGAGTTTATGAAGAAGTCACATTTTCACTGTAAAAAAACCCCCAATAAATGGAGATAGGACAAGAAACCACTGAGGTCGGGAATTACTGCTCCACTGTACCATGGGTCTCAACTCAGAATTTCAAAAAAAAGGAGGAACTTTCCCCGTGATCGTGACAGAAGATCATTTTCACGAGACACCCATTATTGTTATTCTGTTTAACCCTACAATGCTGAAATAAAAACCATCAATTTGTCAAAGCAAGGTTATTTCATACCAATCTGAGGGTTTGGAGGATAATTTCAAGTAATAGACAAGTGGTAGCCGAGTGTAGCGGAGGAAATGGCGGAAGTGGAAATGCCCTAAATAGCGGAATATTGAGACCCGTGCTGTACTCACCATGAGAAGCCAACACAGAGCCCAGAATGTTCTGCAGCATGCCGGCTGGCATGGTGCGCAGATTGGGCAGTGGGCCCATGTGTACGTTGTGGGAGCCGCCCGGACCTAGACTGATGCTGGGGCCCTGGACGAAGGAAAATGACGCTGACGAGGAGGAGGAGGAGGAGGAGGAGGAAGAAGAGGAGGAGGAGGAAGAGAAGGTGTTTGTCCCAGGCTGCTGAGTGGTGGTGGTGTTGTTGTTGCTGACCGGAGCGTCGGGCGAGGGGCGAGGCCCACCACCACCACCACCGGGAGCTGTCGCTGGTCTCTGCGACCCAGGGGTGGAGGAGGAGGAGGAGGTGGAGGTGGCTGGGGTTGACGTGGCTGTAGCTCGCGCGGCCGTGGAAGTGGCTCCTTGTGGGGTCCTCACTGTCACATTGGTCATGCCAGGCTGGCCGTCTGCTACAAAAAAAATTAATCAAAAGAAATGCAACAAAACAGGCCATCTGATACAAGCATTTTTTTTTAAAATAAAAAAATAAAATAAAATAAAACTAATCAAAAGAAATGCAAGAAAAAACCCACCAATCCAATAAAATAAAATGTATAAAAAATAAAATAAAAAAGAAAACAATCCGCAAGTGTGCACATCAACAACCATCATCCACACATCCTTCCTTCCCCCTTTTTTTTGCTTTTAGTAAGAGTGTTATGGCACCTGCAACACAATAAGGTCATATAAGTGCCGAAGATTAGAGGTGTTACAAGAGAGTAACAAACACAAAAAAGTAAAAGGAGGGGAGATAAAGACGATAGATTTTTTTTATAGGAAAGAAGGAACAAACCACATCAAAACCCCCACCAACCACCAACAGAGAATTAAAAACCCCAACCTATGTGGACATTGTTAACCATCATGTACTGACCTATGTGGACATTGTTAACCACCACCATCATGTACTGACCTGTGTGGACATTGTTAACCACCACCATCATGTACTGACCTGTGTGGACATTGTTAACCACCACCATCATGTACTGACCTGTGTGGACA